TTGTGAGGACAAACAGAGAGTCTGTTTCAGAGTCAGGTAACAAGAGAGACATTTAGTTTTAATCCGAGGGACAAATTAGAGCTATGAGTAACAATTAGCAGTTTGAAGGATCTGTTTTATCATCTTAAATTATTTTTCTTCACAGTGATGGCTTTCACATGGAATATAACATATATAACTCTCAGTGGACATATTGAACTGCAGCGGTTCCGATATCTTTATTTCGTTGTCATGTTCACTGCTTATGTTCTAATCCTTTGCTGTAATTCTACCATTGTTTATCTCATTGTTATTCACAAAAACCTCCACGAGCCGATGTACATTTTTATTGCAGCCGTGCTGTTCAACTCTGTTCTTTTCAGCACTAATATCTACCCGAAGCTGTTGGTTGACTTTCTATCGGAGGAACAGATCATCTCCCATCGTGCTTGCATCTATCAGGCTTTTACGTTTCATGTCCTGAGCATTTCAGAGTTTTTGCTCCTTGCAGCTATGTCCTATGACAGATTTGTGTCTATATGCAAACCTCTGCAGTATCCAGCCATCATGAGAAGGTCCACTGTGGGCACTTTGCTGGTACTAGCTTGGATTGTTCCCACCTGTCTTGTTGCAGTACCAGTGATACCAACTTTTAATAAGAAAATCTGCAGTTTTACTTTGAAATCGTTTTTTTGCAACAGTGTAGTCGGGGGTCTGTTCTGTAGCACTTCGTCAGCATCATCTATTTATGCTCTGATCGTTTTTTCAAGCGCTGGACTTTTCCCAATGCTTTTCATTCTCTTTACGTACGCAAGGATATTGTTTGTAGCCTACAAGAGCAGTGCAGAAGTCAGGAAAAAAGCCTCTCAAACCTGTGTGCCTCATCTGCTAGTTTTGATCAATTATTCCGTGTTACTTACCTATGATGTCATTTTGATAAGAGGGGAATATGATTTCCCACAAGTCGCACAACTGGTAATGACCCTGCAAATAATAACTTATCATCCTCTTTTTAATCCACTCATTTATGGGCTAAAGATGACGGACATTTCTAAACATCTGAGAAAGCTGCTGTGTCAGGCCAAAGTGAAGTGATTTATGATAGAAAATAAATTGTTTGTTATTTATGAAACATAAGCTTGTTTTAGGTACTGGGATGCTACAAATTAAGAGTTATTTATCCAAATAACAAAGGCCACCTGTAGTAATGTGACAGCAGTAATGAAATTAGACATTGATTTTAGCCCAGAATATTCCTGTCGACCCTTCATTATCTGAAATTATTACTATAGTACCAATGTCTTTATCTTTATTGCATATATATATATATATATATATATATATACATACATGTGTGTGTGTATACAAAGTTTGTGTGTTTAATGCTTATGTATCTATGTTCGTATTTACTTATTATTAAATTGCTTATTCACTTTGGGCTTTGGAGCTATTTGTTTTTTTCGTTTTTGATTTGTTTCACTGTAAAAATAAAAAAAAAGAGCCAACATCTGATATCCCAGTTATGATAGGTCCAGAGAAGGGCCGCACCCTGGGTAAGCTGCTAAAAAAAAAAATAGAAAACATGTTTGTGATACTAATGACTGAGCAAAGAGTATGAAACGGTCGAATGGGATAGAAATAGAGAGAAGATTTTATGCAAAACAAACACATGACCCACCCCTTAACAGTAAATATCAGTGAAAATTAAAAGGATAAACCCACGAATGAAAAAGAAGCTCTTGTGAATGCTGGTGCACATAGAAAAGTTTAGGCCAGTTTAGGCCCCACTGAAACTGACCTAAGGTTCATGTGTATACATAAACACCTGAAGTGCCTGATAATGGTGATGACGTATTTGGTGCGAGGTTAATGAGATCCTTTGAGGGTGAAAGAGTCTGATAAAACAGTCAACCTTCATGTTAAGTCAACCACACACCAATTTCCCTTTGGAGACGGGTAACTTTCAATGAATTAGGAATTCAGTGCTTGCCTTTTTTCACCATATTAAGTTTAAATAATCTAGTATTGTGCTTTCTTGGGTTATATTGTATCTATTCTAAATCTTAATGGCTGATAAACTAAATATAACATATATAATTCTAAGTGGACTTGTCCAAGTGCACAGATACAGAAGCCTTTATTTCTTTTTGATGTTAACAGTGTATATTCTAATAATTTGTTGTAATACAGTCATTGTGAGTCTCATCGTTATTCACAAAAGTCTCCACGAGCCCATGTACATTTTCATTGCAGCTTTGTTAATCAACTCTGTTCTTTTCAGCACAAATATCTACCCAAAGCTTTTGATCGACTTTCTATCAGACAAACAGATGATATCCTATCAAGCTTGTCTCGTTCAGGTTTTTGCATTTTACACCTTAAGCTGTTCGGAGTTCTTGCTGCTGGCA